AAAAACAACAACCAAATTGCAGACTTAATTCTTTCAAAAGATAATCATAACAGTTTCTGTATCTGGAACATGTTTCCTACACAACGTTGAACAAAATGACATTAAGGCACATGCCATTTACAAAAGGAGAGAACTATTAGTAGATATGAATGAACCTCAGAGAGGCAGGAAAAGATTTATCTGAAGCTAAAGTAAATCTGGCATCTGGGCGCTTTGCCTCACTTTACCACCTTATTACATGCAGTGTGAGCCAGGTGTGAGCTTTTCTCTACAAATAGTCAAGATGAAGAAAGGGTGGAATTTAATCGAATAGACGACTGTGCTACTTTACTTGCTTTCTTGGGCTTTTTTTCTGCCCTTACCTTGAGACCTGTATCTTTTCTGGTTTGTATGTTGGTGTAAAAATGCATCCCACAAAAAACACATTGTGTGACTGTGAATCCTTTTCTTGGTTTGTCTTGGTGGATGAAAGGTATCAAAACCTTTGCGTCTTTTCTAAGATATGAGTACAGAAAAAGTTTTGTTTTTTGCAGTTGTGTGTGCGTGCGCCCAAGCATATGTGTGTTTTTATGTACACCTCATTCTTCTGTTTACCAACCCTCTGTACCTCCCCGATCCCTTTACCTTCGCCTCTGTAGGCTCCACTCTCATTCTCTTTTCCTCGTTTGTCCCTCTACTCTTCCTTGCTAGACCCTAAGTCACAGAGCAGGAGCCAGGCAGTGACGCATCGCCATTCGTTATTCCACTGAACACTCAGTCAACCCTCCCCCCTTTACTCGCTGAGCTGCAGTTTCATATCTCATCAAGAAAAATGCCAGCTCAAACCGTGGTTGGCTGCAGATTAAAAAATCAGGTGTGCCCTGCCACATGCAGACCTACTGGCTGCAAAAAAAAAAGCCTTTAGAGGAAGAGTAGACGTGAAAGAAGGTAGACCACTTTATAGATATGTACTTGAAAGAGTAATGAGAGACAATAGAGACATAAAAATCCAATCAAACCAATGGTTCAACTAATAGTTTTTCCAAAACAGACAATTAAGACAAGTTTTTTTTCTAATATTTGTTTTCATCTTAAACCAAATAAAATCAAAGTCTTGTTTTATTTTCATGGATATAAACACAAGACACCTGATGTAAATGATAATGATTGTGAAGATTGTGGTTTTTGAAAAATGCATTATAATCAATAAATCCATTGATTGCATTAAAATGAAAATGAATTTGATCATTTTTCCGGTATATTTCCATGTGAATGCATGTTTTTCCTTGTCTGTGGCCCTCCAAACAAACTAGATGCACCTGGGCACGTTTGTTCCATAGCAGAATGAGCAGGCTGAACCCTCTTGTCAGTCATCCACTCTTTGTAGACACACAAAGAGTGGAGCAACATAGATAGGCCAGTATGCCAAATTAGTTTGAGAGTGGTAGCAACAAAACAAGGCAATTCGACAAACTTTGCACCAAAAACATAACCACCTGACACAGTTTGGGGAAAACCTGCACCTGGAGATGCAGAGCCTTCGTCTGTATTCAACAAGGTAAGTACAAACAGAAGAGTGCAACTCGATGTGTGTTCACAGAAAGAGTAGTTCTCTACACCACAAAAGCTTCACAACCCCCGACAGCCCTTAAAATATGTATTTTTTATTAGGGGTCCGTGATGTGTCCGTAAATGCGGGATGTTCAGGTACCATAGATTAAAGAATCGTAAAAACATACTTATGTGAAATCAAATTTATTGCATTTGAAAGGTGTAAAAACATATGAAATCAAATTTATTGCATTTGAAAGGGTGTATTTGAAAATAATATATGCTGTTTTATCATTACAATAGTGGCTCAGTCTCAAAAAAATGTTGAAAATATTATCATTTATCAGCAATCATTTGTGGGACCATATATTGTTCAGCAAAATTGGTTATCGTCCCAGGCCTATTAATGTTTTAATACTGAGCATTGGAAAATGTTTCAGGGCCAACGAGAGTTAAATATTGTATTTTGTTTGTCTCAATTTGGGTGGCTTAAAAAAAAAACCAAATGTCTCACTTATGATCTGAGTGATAGGCACCTCGAATTTGCTTTACGTTATTAAGAAATACTGTACCTCCAATAAAAGTTGCTTGTCACATTTGACAGTGTTTATGTCCCTATGCTGTGTGTAGTTGTCTTTCAGCAAACTGCTCCTTTCAAAAGGACATGATCATGGTCCATCCCAATTGACTGAATGACCAATAACAGTAATAATCTCAAGCAAAACACCATGAACGAAGCAGAGCCGTCTATTGGAACATTCAGCGTTCATACAAACACATTTTCTAGCAGCTTTGTTGTGGTCATGATCAGAGTGAGGGCCGTGGGATAAAAGAGGATTCAAAAAACTGTGAGAGTGTGTGTGTGGGTAGAATGGCTTGTAAATTTACCCTCTCGACTCACATTGAGCTTGTGTTGCGTTTGATGCCACTTGTCGATGAACAACTCATCTCTGAGCTTGTAAAACCATAAAACGGGAAATACGTTTCTATTGCTCAGAATAAGAAAATGCTTCACCTCAGTGTTGTTCTGTCTAACTACCAATGGAAGAATTCCACTCTATGGGCAGTTTTGTATTGTATTTACCCAGAGATATGTACTTGCTGGCTATGCATACAAACCTACTTTAAACCCAACTCAGCCATTATCAGTTTGACAATAGTAAAAAAAACACACACGTGAAAACATAGACTGGGAAAGATAGCTATGTCTATTCATGACTTGTATGAAAAGCGAACAGTAGCTACCATTTGCAGCCATAAGTTAACTTAGCATCTAATTTCCACAGCAGCCTAGTGCTCTGCACTTTTAGCATGGCTAGGCAATGTTGGAGATATCAAACATCTTATTGCATTTTACATTTGGTTTTGCCCTTTTCCTCTGTCTTCTCTAGCCATGATTTATACTTATCTGTGTGCAGCCACACATTGTTGAAGGAGCACCTTTCCGGCATTGTCTTGAGCTGTTGTTAACGTGTTATCACTTGATCTGATCTGCCCCTTGCTATGCACGTCAAACATCACCTTACGAGAACAGTGGCTGATCACATCAAGATTTTCAGATACAATTAATTATTGAACAATTTGAAATCAACATTATAGGCTGCTATAACTAAGTGCTAAGTGAGAAAAAAAATCCACAAACTTATGTTTTGAAGAATTTAAGAATTTTCCAGGCCTGGACATTTTCAAATTCCCTTACTTTTCCAGATTTACGTACGAATAATAACAATTTAACCTTCACTCCAACTGACAACAGGAACACACCAATCGACTAAATGCACTAATGCAGCATCACTCTGACATATAATCATGTAAATGTGTAAAAAAAATAGTATGTTGTCACAAAAGTGGGAAACAAATTATAGTGTTTTGAGTATGTAACAGCAGAGTCAACACTGCTAAAAGCTACCAGCTTGACTGAAAATACATCTGAAGCAGCCAGTGATTGTGAAAGCTTTTCAATTTTGATCAAGTGCGGAAGTAGAAGGTTGTGCGTCTGCCTGACGTCAGGCTGACTCACTGCGAACGGAACACATTAACTGGGAATAAAAAGCCTGAGGCAGCCAACAAAACACAACATACTCAGGATGTACTGTACAAATCCATTGGCAATGCAGACAATTTGTAGTTCTCAACATCATCTTTACTGGTGCATGGATATTTTCAGAGCACCCATATTTCACAGGTAACAGGTAACAGTTTAGTTTAATAATCATTTTACAACTGGAAGCCCACCCGCCCTCAACATCGGCAGCATCCCTCAAGTACATCAGACCACACTGGATGTTAAGCCTCATCTACGTGCAATTGTATTGTGCCTGCACTGTTTTTAGGCTTTTTGTTTTCAGCCTGTGTTTTGTTTTTCAGTGTGGCCACGAAGCTGGGCTCCTGTGTTCAGTTTCTCTTCGTGCGAGGACTTGCAGGGAGTAAAATGATAGTGTCTGTTATAACATGACAGAAACAATTGTCTAAATATTACCCATCAGTGCTGATATCACTAGTATATACAGTATATACTATAAAGTAAGAAATCATGTGGAATAATATTGCACAGATGCACCTGACGCTATCAGGTGTGTAATTAATGCTACTATGCGTTCACACTGCAAATGAATGAAATTTAATATAAAGCATACAAACTACTAGTCTTGTGTATATTTTTGTTTATTATTAATTTATCTTGTGGAATAATTACAGGAGGTAGGAGATAAGCATAAAATCATGAATATCGTTTCGTGAATTGACTGAATGTTGCATTTCTACTTCTGATTAAATCTCAAGAGTCAAGTCTGTTTTATTTTGCACTTATTTCAAACAAATTCTAAAACTGATAGAGTTGTTCATGTTTATTTTGTATTTAGTTACTTTATATAAATACTAAAACTCTCTATTGTAGGTGACTGTGCTACATTTTTTCATTAAATGTTTATACATTTAGACATTTTTAATACAATTAGTTTCTTTTTGGCTTTAAATATTCTTCCAATATAAAAATAAATAAAATAAAACTGGTTGTAACCATTGTCCTGCTTGTCCTCACTGTGGTATGGGTTGAGCTCACACTGC